ACGAAAAGTCGTTTTGGGGTAGTGTTAGGGCGCATTTGTAACCTAATAGTTGAGGTTGTCCAGGGTCAGGTGCTGACTGTAGTGATGAGTTAAGCCATTTAAGCCTATCTATTACGCGCCGCTGTTCTGTAGCTGCGGTCGTTATCACGATTACGCCTCCTGTATATGGTTCGTTGTCGTCGCGTCGGAGGCATTTAAAAGAAAGAAAAAACAACAAATAAACTAATTATAGCTACACAAAACAACGATAAACGCACAAATTTAAGATACAACCATACTAACACGATCCGTCTTGGGGGTTATGTTTACACAAACTCAAATAGTAAATAAATGTACTCAATGCGTTTCATTGAATTGAAAAATAAATAACAGCAATTAAATTATACAGCTGATCAAAATGTAAACAATTATGTTCTTCATAAGGATAACATAGGAACTTTCAAAGCCACCGGGGCAGAGCCCAAGGGACTTTTTCAAAAATGTAAGACCAGTTTGCAAATCTACGCGACACGCTCTTTCCAATGAGACGTCAATGGATAAAATCGGTTAAGAAATGGCGGAGGAGTTCAACCGACAAAGTTTCATGTAGCGTATTAATTATATAGATTCTACCAAACTCAGTGGGAAAGATTTCAATTACAACCTCTCAAAAGAACAAATTATTAGGTGTTAATTATAAAGCGTGGAACTTCTTGTTCAACAAAGTCTATCAAAACATAATCGTAGTGACTACACCCAGGGTCATAAAGGAATGCCCACTTCAGGCAATATAGCAGCGAATAAAAGAAACTGTCAACACAGTAATCCCACCGTAATCACAAGGCGTTATTAATTCTCCATCCTTACATGTGGCCATTAGCTGCTGCACTAGCAAAGCAATCTCCATCCATCTCCCGTCTCGCGGAGATGACACGGCAAACCTCGCCAGTGTAGAGGGGATAATGTCGAAAACGCGCGTACAACAGTAATTTACTGCGGGGTGAACGGACAAGGGTGAAATTAATCACTGATACGAGCATCGCCGAGTCGTTCGCTTTCATGTAACTGACAAAGCATATGGCACTCAGTGGCAATTAGAGCAGCTGGGTGGATGGTGGATGGACGCTGCAAGGTCACCGCTCTTCTCCAAGGCCAGTGTCCTGCCATGTGCCATGCGCTGTCACTGTCACCACTCACAATCTGCACTGGATGCTAACTAGCCAACGCTTTATTGTGTCCTGTGTGTTGAATTAACGAGTTTCAATGTCCAACAAGAATAATTGTGTTCAGATCCCCATCGTAATCGAAAGGTTGAGTAAGGACGTTGTGTAGAAGTTATCGAGGGTTAAATTAGAGGGTTATTGAGAGTGTACTAATAATGGTTCATTAATGACGGAAGAAATTGAGATCTACTTCTTTTGAAATTTGAAGAGTTGTAGAAGTTGTTAAGGTATAGTTTGTGTCTCTTTACATTATGATTTCTTAGTGTATGACCTGAGTGGGTAGGCCTATGTTGTTTGTTTCTGCAGTATTTTATGTCTATATATATGTACATGCGGTTGTCGTGTGTGTTGTGTATGGTGTGGTACAGGGGTGTAATCCCACGCCAGGTTTGTTTGTTCGTGATTGCTCCGTTCTTTATTTTGCAGTAGTTGTGTGCTGAGGTGTGTGTTGTGTATGGTGTGGTGCAGGGGTGTAATCCCACGCCAGGTTTGTTTGCTCGTGATTGCTCCGTTCTTTATTTTGCAGTAGTTGTGTGCTGAGGTGTGTGTTGTGTACGGTGTAGTTCAGGGGTGTAATCCCACGCCAGGTTTGTTTGTTCGTGATTGCTCCGTTCTTTATTTTGCAGTAGTTGTGTGCTGAGGTGTGTGTTGTGTATGGTGTGGTGCAGGGGTGTGATCCCACGCCAGGTTTGTTTGTTCGTGATTGCTCCGTTGTTTGTTTGTGCAGTAGTCGTGTAATTTTCGCTTATCTCGCCAACTGGTGCTCATGCACACCGCCTCCAACGCCGCCACTCACCCGCTCAGCTTCCTCTCAGACCTGTTCCTAACCACTTAATTGCGGCATCTCTTTTTATCACCATCATAAATTGATTTTTACGAACCGCATTTCGTTAATGCCTCCAAAGCATTACCTGACTTCTGTGACGCAGCCACCAGCGTACAGAGTTTTTACAAGTCGCGCTTTTTGTCAGTTCTCGGTGCCTTCTATAGGCTAATTACCATACAAGATGCGACGTATATGTTGGAAACCGCCACTTTAGTTGTTTACTTGTGAAAAAGCGAGGTTGTAAAAGTGAGTAAATGACGGACCGAGTCATGAAGATGTTGAGGTGCATCGTGCATCGTGGCATGAATAATGCATGTCTGAGCAACCGATGCAATATTTAGCGTTGGGAAATGCTTCAACTATGAATAATTTCACTTGAAGAGTTATTCACTATTACCTGCATAGATTTTACCTACAACTTGTTTTTTTAATATGCTTTGATAATGCAAAGTTAAACAGCAATTTTACTTTTTATTAGTGTGAGTTGGGCTAAAGGCGTCCTTTTTATAGCCCTAATGTACTTATTTTTAGCTAAAACAGCTACTGTCACCACCATAGATCTCTATATCTATGGTCTCCACCAGGTCCAACCACAACTCTCTGCTGTAGGTCTCCTCGCTAGTTGCAGTGTAGGTGGTTGACACTTTTCGTTTCACCGAGGTCCACGGACGCGTCTGGGTGTTGTGTCCACCAGGCCCAACCACAACTCTCTGCTGTAGGTCTCCTCGCTAGTTGCAGTGTAGGTGGTTGACACTTTTCGTTTCACCGAGGTCCACGGACGCGTCTGGGTGTTGTGTCCACCAGGCCCAACCACAACTCTCCGCTGTAGGTCTCCTCGCTAGTTGCAGTGTAGGTGGTTGACACTTTTCGTTTCACCGAGGTCCACGGACGCGTCTGGGTGTTGTGTCCACCAGGCCCAACCACAACTCTCCGCTGTAGGTCTCCTCGCTAGTTGCAGTGTAGGTGGTAGACACTTTTCGTTTCACCGAGGTCCACAGACGCGACGTCTACCATTACTCATCCCGACACGTGTGACTCGCCATGTGATAATTACACGTTACGTAATTTTCGCAACCTTCCCCAGGTCTGCGAACGTGTGGACGTTGCAAGACGTTCCAAGACGTCGAGTCTAAGCAACTAACTCATGTATGTCACTTCTTTGTTCGTGTCTCCGCCGGTGGAGTTTCCTTCGAATGGACCACACGAAATTTTGGGGGGAAACGGTTCAAACACGTCCGAGTTTTATAGGTATAACCCGGCAATGTGGCACCATAGTCATACACTTCGCCAAAAAGTCGTCGCAACGAAGTGAACTAATGTAAAGAACTAATCACACCTATGTGCCAAAGTAGCAAATTCTACAAGGGCTTAGTGAGCGGAACGCCTGCACATTTGCCTACGCAATATAGAGGCTATTGGAATACTTCAACTTTGCCTTCCTTTTAAAAACTTATAATCGTGAAGAATTTCAACCACGTTGATGTTGTATGTGTAAATACCTCTTAATTTATTTATTGGTAAACTAAATGAAGTGTACAAGTGAAACAATATTTAAATTCTATATTATCGTGCAACTAGTATATACCTTTGCTTTGCATAGTAACCACCTATTTTGGAGTTAGTAACAATTTATACCTTTTCTCCATATTTGTATTCTTAAATGGCTTTTTGGAAACTGCAAGTAAAAAACGGGTCGAGTTTCATTTGTCACCTTATTTAAATTTCCTTTTCAATATTTTCCACAATGAATAGATGACCTGTAGAAAGCACGTCATTTTCCCCACTCTCGGATTTTTGGACGGTGTACGCACTGTGTCGACAAGCGGCGAACTTCAGGTTCTCAACTATTAATTGAAAACTATTTTAATAGTTTCCGACGCGAAGGCTCGGCGCTAATCGCAGATTATAGCCTGTTCACCTCCGTATCAGGAAACCGATAAATTTATAGCTCCTAGTACAGACCGGCTGCTATTTATAGCCGGACTATCCGTTTAGTGGTTTAAACTCGTTTAGTTAGTAATCTAGTATGAATACTACAGGTGGAACGGCTGTGGAGGTGATACTTTGGTTAAGTGTCGAAATTAAAAATATTAGAAACCAGTTGTTAGGGTAACACATACTGGGAGGTTTTGTACTACTATTAAGGTAGGTACAGTTATCAAAATTACCAATGGTTGGTTTAGTAAGTAGTGAATTTAATTTTGGTCCTGGAATTTAATAGGGTTTTGATGATCTGTCCAAGGTAACTGGCTTGCTGCTAAATGTATTTCATTCGTTATGAGACTCTTTGTATTAAAGTCAATATAAAGTCTTTTTGAAAGATTGCGGTCCATATTACGTCATCACACTGGACGATCTTCTGGAGATCAGTGATTTGTTTAATTCAGTGATTTGTTTAATTGTTGATAGATTTTTTAAGCTTAGGGTATCGTGTTAACGTATGTCGGATGCGGGATCTAATACTAAAACCAATTCCTGAAATACAATAGGTTTCAACTCGAGAGTATGAGATAAATGTTACCGTAGGGGTTCGAGGTGCAGCGATTCTATCAGGTTTAGTTTATAGTTATAGTTTCTAAAAGTTTTGATACGACTGGAGGAGTTCGAAATAAACGTGTTATGGTGTGAATTTCTGTAGCCTACTTTTGCATTTACTATCTCACCTTTAGTTTCGTGTATATTTGTTTGGGATACAAACAAACATTATTAGGCCCAAAGTAGGGTTTTATACTGACAAACTTCCTTACTAATGACAAACGCTTACAAAGTCTAGAATATTCCCTTTTTTACAACTTAAGATGGATTCTTCGGATTTAAATGTGAGCACTCCAACCGCTAGGATATCGATCCAACGTTAAATCGACAACGTAAAATAGAGTTTCTTAAGTCACAACCCTCCACTGCCCAGAGGATACTGCATCCTCAATCAGTTCCTTTATCTCACTCTAAAATAACGAATTACCAATCAGTACCTGGATAAGTGTCTGCGTTGGAAGCGAAGAGCACACACAGGCCTGTCTCGTAGTTGACGGCGTGACAAGAGTCGTTGCTCTGGCAGGCCTCTAGACAGTCTGTCAGCATGAGAGTGCCAGGAACACTGTCCAAGAGGTCGTCAGGGGCGGTGAACACGTAGCCGGTGATGAGCTCAAACCCCAACATCTCCGGGTCGCACTCCTCCAGAGACACGCCACCACTGGTGATGTCCTGCGTGGAGGCCGCCGCCAGACACAGTAGGATGGCTATCCGGTACATCTGTAGACAATACAGACTATATAGGTGATGAGCTCAAACCCCAACATCTCCGGGTAGCACTCCTCCAGGGACACGCCGCCGCTGGTGATGTCCTGCGTGGAGGCCGCCGCCAGACACAGTAGGATGGCTATCCGGTACATCTGTAGACAATACAGACTATATAGGTGATGAGCTCAAACCACAACATCTCCGGGTCGCACTCCTCCAGGGACACGCCGCCGCTGGTGATGTCCTGCGTGGAGGCCGCCGCCAGACACAGTAGGATGGCTATCCGGTACATCTGTAGACAATACAGACTATATAGGTGATGAGCTCAAACCCCAACATCTCCGGGTAGCACTCCTCCAGGGACACGCCGCCGCTGGTGATGTCCTGCGTGGAGGCCGCCGCCAGACACAGTAGGATGGCTATCCGTTACATCTGTAGACAATACAGACTATATAGGTGATGAGCTCAAACCCCAACATCTCCGGGTAGCACTCCTCCAGGGACACGCCGCCGCTGGTGATGTCCTGCGTGGAGGCCGCCGCCAGACACAGTAGGATGGCTATCCGTTACATCTGTAGACAATACAGACTATATAGGTGATGAGCTCAAACCCCAACATCTCCGGGTCGCACTCCACCAGGGACACGCCGCCGCTGGTGATGTCCTGCGTGGAGGCCGCCGCCAGACACAGTAGGATGGCTATCCGGTCCATCTGTAGACAATACAGACTATATAGGTGATGAGCTCAAACCCCAACATCTCCGGGTAGCACTCCTCCAGGGACACGCCGCCGCTGGTGATGTCCTGCGTGGAGGCCGCCGCCAGACACAGTAGGATGGCTATCCGGTACATCTGTAGACAATACAGACTATATAGGTGATGAGCTCAAACCCCAACATCTCCGGGTAGCACTCCTCCAGAGACACGCCGCCGCTGGTGATGTCCTGCGTGGAGGCCGCCGCCAGACACAGTAGGATGTCTATCCTGTACATCTGTAGACAATACAGACTATATAGGTGATGAGCTCAAACCCCAACATCTCCGGGTCGCACTCCACCAGGGACACGCCGCCGCTGGTGATGTCCTGCGTGGAGGCCGCCGCCAGACACAGTAGGATGGCTATCCGGTCCATCTGTAGACAATACAGACTATATAGGTGATGAGCTCAAACCCCAACATCTCCGGGTAGCACTCCTCCAGGGACACGCCGCCGCTGGTGATGTCCTGCGTGGAGGCCGCCGCCAGACACAGTAGGATGGCTATCCGTTACATCTGTAGACAATACAGACTATATAGGTGATGAGCTCAAACCCCAACATCTCCGGGTCGCACTCCTCCAGAGACACGCCGCCGCTGGTGATGTCCTGCGTGGAGGCCGCCGCCAGACACAGTAGGATGGCTATCTGGTACATCTGTAGACAATACAGACTATATAGGTGATGAGCTCAAACCCCAACATCTCCGGGTCGCACTCCTCCAGGGACACGCCGCCGCTGGTGATGTCCTGCGTGGAGGCCGCCGCCAGACACAGTAGGATGGCTATCCGGTACATCTGTAGACAATACAGACTATATAGGTGATGAGCTCAAACCCCAACATCTCCGGGTCGCACTCCTCCAGGGACACGCCGCCGCTGGTGATGTCCTGCGTGGAGGCCGCCGCCAGACACAGTAGGATGGCTATCCGGTACATCTGTAGACAATACAGACTATATAGGTGATGAGCTCAAACCCCAACATCTCCGGGTCGCACTCCTCCAGGGACACGCCGCCGCTGGTGATGTCCTGCGTGGAGGCCGCCGCCAGACACAGTAGGATGGCTATCTGGTACATCTGTAGACAATACAGACTATATAGGTGATGAGCTCAAACCCCAACATCTCCGGGTCGCACTCCTCCAGGGACACGCCGCCGCTGGTGATGTCCTGCGTGGAGGCCGCCGCCAGACACAGTAGGATGGCTATTTGGTACATCTGTAGACAAGACATCGATTATGGAAACTTTACAGCAAAGTTTCGTTACGTTACAGCTAAGTCTTGTATGCCTTAATACAAGGATCATATTTGGAACCAAATAAACTACTAGTGCAACAAATCCATCAGAATGCTACTAATGCAACAACTACATCAGAATGATCATATCATGATAAATCCTTGAATTGAATTATACTAGACCTATACTATCTTAAGTGTTTTCAACTGCTGTCACTGAACTTTCTTAAAAGCGAATTATCTCGAACATTAGATGGGAAAAATATTACGTTCAGTTATATCCAACACCGGCAACCTTTCCATTGTGGGTTTGGTCCAATGAAACTGCATTTGTGGGTAACTTTTGTGATAAACCCTATCTACTTTTTGTGTTACAATTTTCTTCACTTTAGTTTTCAATTACTGCAGATCCATTTTGCTACACACCGAACAACCAAGTTGCATTAGTACCTCTCATGACACCTGTAATCAGTTTATAACTGCTACCCCCGCACTGTGTAGGCAGCTGTCAGGCCGATGTTTTATCACAAGTTGGCTCCGATTACACGCGAATCCCATGTTTACGGACTAACCTGTGATTATTTGAGTCCGGTAGCCCAGGCCATCATTCATCGGACTTAATGGGCGTCTTTAGAGACACAATTCAACTGTACATTTCTCGAGCAAATGTTTTTTTTTTACTTGTTGATGTGTCAATGGTTACCTTAACTGTTATAGAATAGTTTGCTACGAGTATTCATATATATCAGGTTATATTAGATGATATCTATGACGCCGACTGGTGCGTATTTTAAACCGAAGGTGAGTGAAGATGAGTCTTGACTGAATGATATCTTTGGCGATTGGTATCGAGGACCAAAAGTTCAAGGACAATTTGGTTCAAATTTGAAACACCAATCACCTGATTTTATCCTTCAAATTAAGATTCACAAGACTTTCTGTCACTTTCTGTGGTAGGTGTGGGTAGTATTATATTGAACACTTAAGGTTGACGACTATTGTCGAAAAATAAATCAGTAGTTAAGTCATTAACTAAAACCAATGCCATTGCACGGTAGTTGGTGACGTGGTGTAGTAATACACGTAAACTTTGTTAAAACCATGCTTAATTCACGTAACTGATATATGGGGACATCAGCTACTTTCCGAAAAGTAATTAATGTGAACTCAGCCTCTTCAAATCATTGCAGAGGAAGGGAGATTCCTTAGTAACTTGTAACCTGGTATCTCAAAACTGTTGGGACTCAATCAAATTCAGTAAGCATATTTGCAAATTCAACTCCACCCGTTGAGTGCAAGTGCAAGACTAGAGTGCAATAAACTCCAGCAGGCTAATTACCCTAGACACAATAGTGTTATCTGCAGTCTGCAGTGCGGACACTTGGTGAGTTCGCCGAAGAGATGGCTGATAGTGCGAGGGCTACACGCTGGCCACCTCATCATTCATTATGCTACTTAGCATGCTGCTGTAGTGTGGGGCCTTCGTCAGTGGTCACGCCTACATACAGTCACACAGTGGTAATGAGTGTCGGCCATATGTGCGGCCGTCTAGGGGTGGAGGTAGGGTGGTGAATCGTTGCAAATGTTTACGTTGTATTCTAAGTAAATTTCTTGGTTAGTTGGGGTGTCAGAGTAGTTGAAGTATGGCTAGAAGGTAGAGTGGTGTAAAATTGGACAGTGAATCAGTTGTAGCCTGCAACAACACGATGTATGGAGAGTACATGCTAATAGGAATAAGGGGTGGTTTGGGTAAAATAGTGGTTGAGCTGGTTGTGTTGTGAATAGGGAGGTGAAATTCTGCAAAACTATTTAGTTGCAGCCTGAAAAAAAACGTGGGATCACATGACCCTAGGTCTAGGGGGATTTGGGAGAGTCAATACCTCAAATCTACGAGGGTAAAAATGGAATTTTCTTTAAGCTTGTTGACGGGTAAAAACTTAAAACGGGAGAAAAAACCTGGTATAAGTCATGACAGGACTATTTGTGTGGACATTTGACGTTGGCTTCGGTGACAAGGTAGCTGAATTGATTTTTTCGTCATTGAAGATTTGACATGCAACTTTTCCAACTAGTAGATGCAAGTTTCATAGCGATATGTCTGGGGGAAAGATGCACTATATTTGGCTAAAGTACAAGTTGTATTTTTAGCTATAAAATGCTTAAGTTGTAGCAGAACGATGTACCAGTACAGGAAGTATATTCTGTTACAATGTTCATTAGGTTGTGTGAGCAGTCACACGTCCACATCGCCCGGAGACTCAACACGTATCACGTCTGTATATAACAACCTCACGTAGCCAACCACCAGCCAGATGTCCAGACGTCATACAACGTAATATTAAATAGTTATGGCAAAACGGTCATAAATCCCGTAGGCGGTACCGACAATGGTTCGGGCCAATAAGGAAGTTCCCGGTTAACTAGGAGTTTGCAGTTTTTGTCGCGTCTTTCACCGCGAGCCCTCACGTCAGCACTGAGCGAAGGTTTGCTGAAGCTGGTCACTGCTGAGTTAGTGACGTGCCGCATGGTTGCAACTTTATGGCGATCTTGTGTCTATACCGTTCCATACGGTTAATGGCTTCATTCTATGTGGAATGCACATCAAAACTTCTTTTGGTGTACCGTTACATACAATGTTGAAGAACGTGGTTCGTACTTGGTGACTTTAACGAGTGGAAAAAAGGAGGTCGTTTTAGAGTAGGTGAAAATATGCTATGTACCTTTACTGATAACTTAATGGAATGGAATATAATGTTTTAGGTTACTGAAAATGCAGTAACTATCCAATAATGTTTTTAATACATTGATAATAAAATACTCTACGGTCACATAGAAAACTCCATCTGCGGACATAGTTTTTCGTATGGGGTTTTCTGTGTGTATCTTTAACTTTGTACATAAACAATCGTGTTTTAGCATAATGTTAAGTGGAATGACAATGTTGTTTTAATTTCTGTTTACCAATGGCATTTTGTATGTTTTTTTTCTAAGGAAACAGTCAACCCCTGGTCTTGTGTTACATGTGACTGTAACCTATACAAAAGAAACTGCAATGACTATGTTCCATACATACAAACATAATCCGCTGTAAAACATAATACGACATACACTGTAGTTTACAAGCTGTATGTGTCAGAACAAATCAAGTTTACCAGATGGAAGATATTCCCCAACGAATCACTCGGGCATACTGACATTTATGGTGGTCATCAACCCTGAGATATCCTCTATTGAAAGCGACACTATAGTGTATGGGTGTGTAATATGTTAGACCTGGTGTAAGTATGCGATACAGTGATACGGTGTGGCGTGTGTGTGGGACCATTGCTGTTGGTCAAATGGCCAAAGATGCATAGGTCAGTAAATCCAACACTCATGTTTCACATGCATTCGTCATTCGCCCACGCTGTTTGACCTTGTGACTTGTTGAATATATGCAAGACAGGTGAAAGCTGAAATGCAACTAACAACTTAGCTGTTCAAGATCTACAGCCAATTGTGATTATAGTCGCTCTGCTATTGCCCAGTAAAGGTATACAGATCGAACATTTACTGGGTACTGACCACAAAAGTAAATTCAACTGATACGTTATACCGGTTGAAAGGCAATTCAAATGAAACTCAATTAATGAAAAAGACCTTTTAAAGGTTCAAGCCACGGTTATCGTCAGCACGAGCCAAAATATATTCAATGCAATTAGTATAGAGTGATATTGTTCCTTTATTTATTCTCATTGTGCTGTTGACTTATCTGTAATAATGGCTTTAGAACTAGTCTGGAACAATTATTGTATGCGTGCTTTTTATGCAAACGTCAAACATTTTCATGTTGTTACATGCAGTTAGTTCTTTATGACAAATCCATAGTTAACTTTACATCAGATAATAACTACTATTCATTGTAACACTAAATTACTTACGTAACCATCCCGTCACAGCTCAACACATACGTGGGCGAACATCAAACAATGTTTGTTGTGCTGGGATTACGTAAGTAATTTATTCTAACATTATGTCCAACAGTTCAGGGGCTACACACATGAATTGTAACTATCCATTGCTTTCCTTTTACAAAACTTATATTTACTAAGGACATATATAAAATAAAAATTCTTCTCACCCCAACGGTGAAATTTCCGATATTGATATTGAATAACCAATGTCAGCCTCAAACGAATGCACATTTTTTCACAATAAAACTCATTTTTTATTAACTGTTTGAATCGCAGTAATTTTTCAATCACTTGTGCCGAACATTCAAACAATCATGTTGTAATGGTAACAATACATCGTCAAACATCCATATTCACTAGATGTTAATCCATTGTTTTCCGCAGCCTAAGTGGCAGTTATCACCTCTGAGAATCAGTCGATGGATCGGTCCCAGGTGAGTTGACCGCACGACGGTGTATCGCGTGCCACTGCGGCGCTGCGGTCAGTCGCTACCGTGAGATCTATATCTGCATTTCCGTATGGCAAGTACGGCACTGTACCATGTAGCCCTGTTGTACCCCTTGACCCGACCACCCGGCTACCATTGTCCGACCTAATTATTTAATGGCCGGCGTTATTGGATATTGTCCGCCGCTTGCACGATTCGCCGATCACAGCATCGTACTTTATCAAGTCATTACAAGTGCGTGATGCATTTTTTAGTTACCACATTTCAGGGTGAATTGTGATAAATTAGACTGGTTTATTA